GGCAAACCCCACACCAAAAATAGTGCCGACAGCACACCTTGAGCACAAACAGGTCCATTGACTCGGTCACCTGTTCCTACCCACACAACAAATATCCATGCATGTTTGACTGACCAAAACCTGACTTATCATGATCTCTTGTCTTCCCATCAACTTATTTTTTTAACATAATTGTAAATCCATGCTCCCACATATTATCATGCCACCATAGTGTCGACTGGTGCGACACCACTGTCGACATGTAAGCACTGGCATGTCAGCTGCTATGTTATTTCCCTATCATTGTCGTTAACTATTTCTCCCATGGTGCTTACACAAGCAAGGAGACACACGTGTGCACGTGTGAACGTTCCCACATGCTTTCACTCATGCCCAGGATTGCACCAGCTTGTCCCTGTAAGTACCACTGCATCACTGCTCATGTTCGTACTTAGTTGTGGGCTCTACTACATTTTTAACGCATAATTGTACTCTTTTGTCGGTACAAGTACACATAGACACTCATGCATGCATTGCACCTCCAAATTCCTCCCACTTCCTTATGGTAGCTACCGCCATCACCACTAGATTCATGGATTGCTAAAAAGGAGTCTCTAGTTGTAGTTGGTCAACTACCATCACGACCAATTATACGTAAGGTCCTAATAGCTTGGGATGACGAATCTGTGGTATTCTAACCTGGATATCTCTACATGATCAGGATTACTCCACCTCTCCTTTTTTGAGCCCTTTTAAGCCATGTTATCCTTTTGACAACTAGTTGATGTCTTCTTGTTGGCCCCGATTGCTGATAGGCTGCCACCCATTTGGATTTGGTGATTCACCCTCTAACCTTCTGGCCTGGTTTGGCTTTGGAAGCATAGTGTGGGCCCTATAAATCAACTTGGTTATTTTGTAGGCCCCGTATGCCGATGTGCTATTACTCATTTAGGATGTAAGAGATTCACTCCATGCTTTATGGCTTAATGAGAGCTTTGAAAGCGTTAGAATGCTCCTGCAAGATAACCATCCTTCTTGGTGGCCTTTTTATGGTCATTATAATGTAAGAATGACTCCTTTTATTGAAAGTATTTTTGGGTATCCCCCTGGATTTAATAAACCAAAGGGATACTTTCCTTTGGAAGTGTCGTCATCTCAGAATGTTCTTTTTGGTTCTTTGGTTATGGGTGGTTTATGTAGAAAATTTCTTCGTAGATACAGTGTTTTGATGTTTTTTGATATGATATTATTCGAATATATACTCTCGACTTATCACACGACGATTACTCATACATAAGTACTTCATGTTTCCTTTAAAAATTTGTTTGTCTTTTTTTGTTGTATATCTCTTCTTTTCTGATTCCTCTCATCTTCGGATCATTTATATAGTCCAAGAGGGAGATTTACTTAGAAAGGAGAATTATACGATGACAACAAATATATATACAAGCTGGCGACTCTGAGTTTTTAAAAAAAAACCAAAAAACACCTTCAACATCTTATCAAGTCTTGCCTCTTAGGCTTGACATCCATGAGTATCGTATCTTCCCATCAGTCTTGCTTCATGGGTCCGACTTCCAACAGCATGGTATCTCCCCATCAATTCTTGCCTCTTAGTGTTGACTTCCATGGGTATTTATCTCCCCATCGACTCTTGCCCCTTGGGCTCGATTTCTAAGAGCATGGTAGCTCTCGTCCAATCTTGCCTCTTTGGGGATTTTCTACATAAAAAATCTTTCATGAGAAAATAAGAAAATTTCATTGAAATGACTTTTTAAGTAACATCAAATAAAATTAGGAGTTTATAAGCCATTATTTTACTTAAATTAGATAATTTAGAGTTCTACTTCTTATTATATAATTTCGATGATTCTCTTCTGGTTCTTGTCACTCTGTTCATGTAAGTAGCGATCTAGGTGACCTTGGCATATTAGACGTTCAATTTCTTCATTTAATTGAAAACATATTTCTGTTGAATGTCCTTTTGCTTGTGGAAATGACAATATTGAGACTGATCTCCACCATCTTAATTTCTTAACGGCCTTGGCCATTTGACTGTCTCTTCATTTTTTATGGTCATTGGGATGTAGGCACTTGACGTGTTGAGTGACGTGTATTCTTTTTTCTGATTGTGGTACACGATTCTCCTGTGATGCAAACTTTTTTTGCTATGGGATTTGATCGGTATCCCTGATGTTATTCTTGTGATTACCCCCCAATCGCTCAAATTATTCTTTGTGTGTGACGATGGTCTCGTCTGTAGAGATTTGTGCTACGACACGATGAATGAGATCAGCATAAGAGCACACCGTCTCCCGGATAAGTAAAATGAATCTTTAATGATCCTTCTATTTGCTATGAACTGCTCTACGAATAATTTGACAAGCTCATTGAAGACATTAATGGTGCCCCCGGGGAGAGGGGAATACTGGATAAAGAAGAGCATCAGAGGCACGATGAATGTGCATGATGGTTCCATAGTGGTCGACGTGCTCATATGGATCAGCTACCCCTTTATATGCATCAATGTTTGAGAGTTTGAAACATGCTGGGATAAGGTGTCGGAGAACCGCGTTAGCCAAAGGAGATGATTCTTGGAAGTTTCGGTGAGCAGTGAAGCAATCTCTTTTATCCAGAGAGAACTCTTCCCGAACTAGGCGTCGTCGGTCATCCTGAATGATATCAGAAGAAGTGATAGTAGGGCGGGACTGTGTCAGGTACGCTGCATGTGATGGATGAGTGGAACTTGTAATGTCGAGAAGATCAGTGTTTCGACTTGGTTGAGGAACAATTTCATCATTAGAAGAGAACTTGGTAAGTGGTGTATTTCCTGTTGAATTTTACACTAGTTGTAAGTAAGTTTCATTGGGTTGCGGTTGTGTCTCCCCACATAGGAGATAAAGGATCTCATGTTGATACTCCTCCATCCTACATACTCGATCTTTTAGAGAATGACCCAAGGCACCTTCGTCGGTGGGGTAATACCTTTTGTGGTAGGAGGATGTGGAAGCTTGATGACATTGGCTTCGTGACTGTCTTATGGAATGATGGGTGTTAGAGAGGGATGCTCGGTTGTTGCAAGTGTTGCGTTTGGTGGTCATGCAATAATTCTTATAAGTATTTTAGTGGTGAGAATGCTCTAATTCCCATAGACGGCACCAATAATGTGCTAGAAAATTCACAGCGGTAGAGTAATGTGTTATCATCTTGACGTTGCACAAGAATTCAGCACACACTAAGGTAAAAGAAAACAATTAGAATGACACTAAAGGTTTTTATTTGAAAAACTCGTAAAGGGAAAAACCACGAGGTTTAACCCAGATGTAAAATTCCAGTATAGGTTGATGATTACAGAGACCCCTTGTCCCGCATATAGGAAAGATTTACTAGGATTTCTAAGTTACAACATCGACTGACAGCTTCGGCTCAGTGATGGTCTACGGTAATTGGTGGTGATTGACGTTGGTCAGTGGTCGACAACGGTTGGTGGTGGTTGGTGGTGGTTGGTGGTGGTCGACAGTGAACGGTGGTAACAGAGATGTGATGGACTTCAGCTCGTTCTCAAAGCTTTTAGTTCTCTCTCAAGTCTCTCACCTCCTCTCATGAGATGGGTGGGGCTCTATTTATAGTGTTTTGGGTACAATTAATACTGGAATATAAACCACTTTGATCGGACCGTTTGGAAAGTTTCCTTCGACTCAGAAGACGTTTGATAGACATTTGAGTGTCTTAACGATGTCAGAATTGAGCAATCTTTGGCTCTTTAGATTCTTCTTGTTGAGACTCTCGATTCAACTATAGGCTTGCTTGATTCGGCATTCGTTTAAACTTCTAAATATGTTCGAAAAACTTTCAAGAGTGGTTTAATGACTTAATCTGAGCTTGTTTTGACTCAGATTGGACTAATTTTGGTAACATTTAATTCTTTTTGTCGAGCAGGTCAATTTGATCGTAAGTTCGCTGAATTCAGAGTTATGGATGAGTTTTTATCGAGGCTTAAATATTTCCTGCTCAAAAAGCCATCTTGAGATTCGTGCCAGTTTATGAAAATTTCTTAGAGATGTATGAGATATATTATTTAAATAAATTTTGATTAATTGAAACTTATTTAATTTTATTTTTAAAAATAAGATATTATATTTTTATATCAATATGCATATAAATTTAACACAACTATTTTTTTTATTATTCTTTTCTATGAAATTATTTAAGTGATTTGAATGTAAAAAACTTACAACTTAGACATATTTTTTATTTACTTGCTATAAAATAGTTTGATGTTAAAATTTATTCAATTACTTATTTATTTAGATTTATAAAATATTTGATAATAAATTTATATAAAAAAATAAAGTATTCATATCAATTTTTACCTTGATTACTAGCAAAAATTTTGAATAATTACTTGAATTTTATATAAAATTATTAACACATGCTTTTATAAATATAAATAAAATATAAGTTATAAATAATTTTTTTTGTAGTCAAATAACATAAATAAGTACTGACAAACTAGTTCATTAAAAAAAGTATATTGAATTTATGCGCCTATTGATATTAAATTATAATATAATACTATTAAATATATTATTAAATAGTTTATAATTAATCAATTTTCATTTAAATAGTATATCATTTTAATGTTTAACATTAAACAAATTATTTTCTGAACAATAAATGAGTTTATTTATGAACATTAATACATTACCAAACGAATTGAACTATGTTCAA